GCCTCAAAAATGCCTCTCTTCTACACTACAGAAAATAAAAAGTTGACTGCAGGAAATACAGAGGTTTTGGGACTTTGATTTGTGTGTATGTGTATTTTGGGTTTTATTTAAGATTTTTCATTTAAAAGCTGCTTCAGTTCAGGCTGATCACTTATTGTGGCTGTGTTGAAGGGGCACAAGGCAAAAACCACAGTAGTATTAGAAATGTGTATTTATTTCTGTGGGTGTAACCACTTTCCTGCTGTGTAAGCAGGGGAGCACTGTGGGGATGTGGGAATGCCAATGAGTCCCTTGCCTACAGAAACCTCTAAGCAAGAAAATATGTAGGAAACCTTTTCAAATATATAGGAAACCTCATTAATTATGTAAGAAATTCCTTCAAATCTGTATGAGCTCTGTCCAAAGAGGTGAGTTTTACGGGTAGGAGGACCCATATGCTGTGGGAAGTCAACTATCTTTTGGGCTGAGTGTTCTGCTGAAAGCACAAAGAAGAGGGGAAAAAATAAATACATGGTGGAAGGAGGAGGGGGAAAGGAAAAAAAGCCCCTTTATACAGGGAGATGCAGCCGCCTGGGCTTGTCGCTGGCAGAAAGTAGGACACTCCTGCTGGGTTTTCTTCTCTGGGAAGGCTAAACTTGGCTGTGAGTGGGTGGAAGCAACGGGCATGGAGATGTATGTGTGTCTCCCATTCCCATCCCCTGCTCAGCCAGCTCTGCCACCTTGGGCTGGAGAGCTGCTGGCAAGAGCTGCATGTCCGGTTTAAGCCCAGGCTTGCAAAGGTGATTACATGCTCAGCTCGCTGAGATGAGCAGGAATTAAAGCCTAAATATCTCTGCTGTGGAGTATCGAAGATCTTGGGTTGCTTCTCAGGCTTGAAGCTTGTTGGGGAGATGTGGAGTTGGTGAAAGGGGAGCTAGGAGGGTTTGGAGGAGGAGGAGTAAGAGGAGGCTGCCCTGGTGTGTTTGCAGAGACGGAGGAGCTGATGTGTCTGAGTCAGGTGTGAGGACGTTGAGCAAGTGATGTTGGAGGTTATATTGGAGTTAGGCAATTGGCTGTGAATTAGGTTGAAGGAGGCAGGAGAGCAGACAAACCACCAAGCCCTGAAGCATCTTCGGGCTGGGTGATGCTTGTGCTCCTCATGGGAGGCTGTGGTCCATTCTTGCCTGCTCCTGGATTTCCCCTGTGTCTTTGTTCCCCAAATTGGGATTTCCCTGGTGCCCTGCACCTCCCTGGTGAAAAGCCCCAGTGGGAGGGGAGCAGCAGCCACAGGCAGCTGTGGTGAATGTGGACCCCCGTCAGGGTCCCCAGGGCCATGGGCTGCCCAAAATGAGGCTATAAAGTCATAAAAATATGATTTGGAGTGATGTCTTTAATGGGAAGAGCACTGCAGTAGGGCCAGGGGCTAGCAAGTCCCTGTGTCTGCAGTTCGCTGTGGAGGTGAGATGTCACTTACTCCTCCTAGTCCTTATTGTCCGTTTTTGTGGAAGTAAACACAGGTTTTAATAGCCTCCAAATCCCTTGGATCTGCTTCAAAAGGTATTTTCCTGCTGCTACTAATCCTGCAGTGGTCAACAAACAGGATTGCCTTGTCTGATTTCTCCTGAGCTGCAGGAGAGGGGTTGTCACTCTGCTCCTGTGTCTCTCCTGACCTTTGGGGTAATTTGGGATCCAGCAGGACCTGGTGCAGCCACACATTTTATCTTCATATGTGTTGCTGCAACAGTCCTTCTGCCTTGCTTGTGGTCTGAGCCCACCTTGGCAAGGTTTCAAATGAAATTCCAATCTGGCTGCAGGTGGAATGTCCCATTCTGTAGCCAAGATGTGGCCGTCCGTGTCCATCCTGTGTGTCCTGGTGGCCTTTGCCAATGCTCGCAGTGTTCCTTACTACCCTCCTCTCTCCAATGACTTGGTCAACCACATAAACAAGCTCAACACCACCTGGAAGGTGAGTACCAGGTTGATTTTGGGGTGTTTTCTTGAATGCATTGCTAACAGTCTCTGTGGGATTCACTAGCTGAGCTTTGGGAGTCTCACCATAGTAGTGACATCAATCCAGCCTTGGTCCCAGTTGACTCCTCCAGTGAGGTGATGCTGTCAGGGATTCCTGTGGCAACAGTAATAGTGGAGCTTCTCTTTGGAGCAGAGCACTGATGAATTTGCAGAATAGGAGTAATCCTAAGAGGAGGAAACTGTGGGAGGCTGGAAACAAGCAGCAAGTGTCCACCTGTATTAGTGACCTGGCCAAACCCTCATCAGCCAGTCTGCTGTGATCAAAGGCTTGAGCTTGACCATACTGGTCATGATGGTCTGTTCCTGAAAGGGGCTGTATTGAGTCTATTAGTAGCTGGCTCTTGACCCTTGGATTTTATAGCAAGTTTCAGACCTGGTTGGGATTGAGGGATCTCTGGAGCACCAGGCTCGTCCCAACATTGTGCTTGGTGGCTGTGGAGAGTTGTGTCCCATTTCTGTGTGTCTCTTCCCAGGCAGGGCACAACTTCCACAATGCTGACATGAGCTATGTGAAGAAGCTCTGTGGCACCTACCTGGGTGGGCCCAAGCTCCCTGAGAGGTGAGTGCTAGGAGAAGAAGATGAAGCTTCTGTAAAAGCTTGTGTGGATGTTCCACGTGTGTCTGGAGTGGCTGGGGGACTCTCCTGGCAGACTGTGAACGGGGTCAGCTCACCTTGGGTGCAGCTTGGACATCATGCATGGAATTCAGCATGGAGCATGCATGAGGGAAACATCCATCCTATGTCCTGCCAGATACTTGACCAGTTGTGTAACTCATTATCCTTGAAAATTAACACAGTAGAGGAGCTGCTGACTTAGTCTGAGGATGTCAGAAGTATTTATGCTCCTTCAGTAAGCAAACAATAGCCCTTGTCCTCCAGGTCACCCTCAGAGGAGACTGGAGGGTCCAGTGCACACAGTGCTGTTACACTGGTGTTCACGTGACAGGACTTCCTTCTTCTTACTTGCAGGGTAGATTTTGCTGCAGACATGGAGCTGCCTGATAACTTCGACTCGCGGACTCAGTGGCCCAACTGTCCCACCATCAGCGAGATAAGAGACCAAGGCTCCTGCGGCTCCTGCTGGGTAAGAGCAGAGGCACTTTAAGGTCATGCTGATACAGACTTTGCTGGACAAAATATGTTGTTAAGTTTGCTATTGAACTGCATAGATCACAGAATCATAAAAGGTTTTGGGTTGGAGAGGACTTTTAAGATCGTCTGGTTCTACCCCTCTGGATGGTCAGGGACACCTTCCACTAGACCAGGTCACTCTAAGCCCCATCCAAGCTGGCCTTGAACACGTACAGGCATGGGGCAGCCACAGCTTCTCTGGGCAACCTGTGCCATGCCTCACCACCCTCACAGGCAAGAATTTCTCCCTAATGTCCTATCTCTCCCCGCCCTCTGTCAGTGGGAAGCCATTCCCTCTGTCCTGTCCTGTCCCTCCTTTGTCCCATGTCCCTCTCCAGCTCTCTTTGAGCTCCTGTAGGCACTGAAAGGGGCTCTAAGGTCTCCCTGGAACCTTCTCTTCCCCAGGCTGAACACCCCCAGCTTTCTCAGCCTCTGTCCATAGCAGAGGTGCTCCAGCCCTCAGAGATATTTGCTACCCTTCTTGGGAGAACAGGGGGGATCCTGCAGTGTCTGAACTTCTTGGTGGCTGCTCCCAGCCAGGCTCATGCCTGCTGCACTCATTGCCAGGAGGTTGCCTGGTTTATCTCCCATGATGAGCTCTAATGATGTTTGGGGCCACCCACAGGCTTTTGGCGCAGTAGAAGCGATTTCAGACCGAATCTGCGTTCACACGAATGCCAAGGTCAGCGTGGAGGTCTCGGCTGAGGACTTGCTGTCATGCTGTGGCTTTGAGTGTGGCATGGGGTGAGCTGTTCCTGGTCCTTGTGCACTTGGAAGGTGGGTGGGAGGAGCAGGGACAAAACATGAAGATGCTGAATGCTTTAGTTCTGTCTTCCTGGTCTCCCTAACGAGCAGAAAGCTCCACCAGAGGTTTGTGCTGTTGATGAGGGAATTAGGTGGGAATATAAAAGTGATTTCGTGGACTGAAAGTCCCTCTGAGACACATCCCACCCCAGCATGGTGGATGATGATGGCTGGTGGAAGGAGGGCAAGCACATAGGGATACTCTCCCATACAGACCTGGCAGCTGCCAAAGCCAAGGAAGGATATATTCTTTGTCCCAGATCCTTGGTTTTCAGGCACAGGCCAGAAAAAAGAAGCCTGTGGCTTTTCCAGGTTTTTGAGCATAGAGCAGGGAGTAGGGTCTCCCAAGTTGTGTGGCTTCTGCTGCTCCTGGCAGCAGAGGCTGAACCGGGACCTAGTAAGGAGCCACTTTGGGATTAAGAGTCATGGGGGGGCTCAGGTTGTTGCCCTGAGGCTTTGGTGTCTCAAGGCAAATCCTGGGGAAGGCAGCAACAGACTAAAAAACGGTTCAACATGCCCAAAGCTTCCCTGCAGCTCTCCCAGGATGGCTCCATTTCCCTGCCTCCCCCAGAAGGGGATGGCTGTGAGCAGCCTGGGACTGGAACTGTGCTGTCTTTTTCCTCCAGGTGCAATGGTGGTTACCCCTCTGGTGCATGGAGGTACTGGACAGAGAGAGGCCTCGTGTCTGGGGGTCTCTACGATTCCCACGTGGGTAAGTCTTGACAGATACTCTGGAAAAGAAAAGAGGAGCATCTCTTCTCAGTTATAGATTCATGCCCTTCAGAATGCTGTTCTCCTGGTCTGCATCCTTGTGGCTGCTCCCTCCTTTAGGTCTGGGCTCAAACACCTCTGCTGTCCCAGCTCCTGTCCCCATGGCTCCTTCTTGTCATTCCTTTGGGATCAGGGTCCCTGAGCAGCATCTAGAGGCAGGAGGCCTATCCAGGAAAGGAGTCAGTAGCTTCTTAACAACACCACAAGTCTCCTGCTTCCAT